GAAAGGAGATTTGTTTAATGCAGAAAAGAGGCATAACGCGAAATGGAAAAGCATAAATTAAAGAGAATTAAGACATGATGAGAAGAGATAAAAAGATAAATTTCAAACACAGTCCAAAGTAAAATGCAATCATTACATCTGGAGAGTGTCCTATTCTCATTTTCATAATTGGGCTCAAAGATCTTGGTGTGAGGCATGACAGGACAAGTAAAATTATAGAAATGGTAAGATGGTTTAGAAAGAAATATTGTGTATATATTTTCCAAGAATGAGAAGGATTGATTGCAGGAAGGAAAGGGTTCACAAAATAGGGGTGGGTTCACATCGCTATGAAATCTATCCCTGTTGCACTCCAGTAGGTTCTTAGACGTGCTAACCACAAAATCTAAGGTGATGATAACGTAAGTGAACAGAAAGAGAATGCAGCAAAACAGAAGAGAATTAGGAGAACAGTCCTTCCTGATTTATGATCAGCATAAAAAGTAGCTGCTCCTTGCTGCTCAATACAGTCAGGTGATCAAAGATCGTAAAGAGTAAAGGTCTTGCAGAAACACGTAAAGAGCAGGAGAGATAAATGAACAAAGTTGATGGACTCTGAATGGAATAGAGTCACCAACCAGGGGGAAAAGAATAATGTTGCAAATAGGTTTATTGCACAAAAAAGGGGAGGTGAACAAGGATGACATGGCTAAGGAATACTGTAAGATACTATTGACTGTGCTTTAAGATAGGTGCAAGTCAAAGAAATGAAAGGAGATTGGCTTATCAGAAAGGATACTGAAGAAAAAAAGCAGCATATGAACAAATCATCTTCCATTTTCTCAGTTTGCTTTTAAAACAAATGACAGCAAGTATTAAATACCTCTTTAAAAGGAAATACACAAGCAACTTAGAAATGTGAGAGTGTGTTAATCAATGCAGACTCAGTGTAATTATCTTATGATAATGACTGCTATTAAAGAACACTGTATTAAACAAAGAAGATTAAACAAAAGGTGTGGAGTACTAGGGAGGTGAGTGGTGTGGACATATGTTATTAAACAGTACAATTGAATGGTCAGAAGGAAGAGAAAAAGCCAAAGACAATCTTGTTGTGTACTGAGTGAGCATATTTATGAGAAATCCAAGGGCAAGGGGTGTGGATATGGTGTAAGTATTACTTGCTTTGCTAGAAGGCAACGAAAGGTGAATAAGTAGATTAAGAACTGATGTTACTGATGCTTACTGTAATCCCACAATGAATCAGAGGATGACTGAAATCAGAAAGAGCGGCTGTGTTTTTTGATTTAAAGAAATATTTATCCATGTAAAATTGATGAGAATTAAACATCTGAATTTTAAAATCTGGTAAAAAACAATGCAATGGAAACTTTGAATCATACTCACTATTAAAAGAATATCATGAGTGGTGTTGTTCATCTTCATACTTGCTTCAACAAGAATTTTTCTTTTCTATTCTAACTTCAAGCTATTCAAAATTCTTCATTGTGTGCTTTGAATAAAACCTTCCCCTTAATGAAAAGCAGTTTGCAAGTAAATTCTTTTTGGAATGCTAGTTCTGAAATCTAGATGAAAAAGATCACAGTATATGTTACTAGTTATTTCAGCATGAATTTTACCTCTTGAAAATAAATGTCATGTTTTCCACATTTGATCAGACCAGTCAGTTAATGCACGCTGTCTATTTTGATCATAACCAAGTTGGACTGCCAAGGTGAAGAACATCACAGAATGTATTAACATATGAAAGCAGAGATTAAAGTACGTGTTGTATGGAGTCTGTTGGCATGATTTTTTTTATTTTATAGACTAAAAAAGTAGGCCTATCAAAATTAAACTTCACTGTTGGTTTGTTGGTGTTTTTTCCATTCTTGGAATTAAAAATGTATCTTCTGACACGTGCATAGCTGTGTTACATTCTACTAGTCATCTCAGAAAAATACCCAAGTTCTATCATCATGCAGAATATGAATAATTCTCTTTTGTTATGGTTTGGGTATGGAATAAAAGAAGTGGAACTTTTATAAGTTGTGAAACTTTATATTTCATATATATTTATGGATAGGACCAATTATTGGATCCAATATGAAGCATTACATTCCTTAATAAATAGTGTGTTATCTCACAAGGTTCTGCTCACTCATAGTTGTGGCTCTAGTTTTGGCTTTGGTTTTTTTAAAATATAATTTAATTTTGGTAACAGAAGACCTATTATATTTGATTTTTTTCTTTGTAGTTTGTATTGAATAAACAGAACAGTCCAAATGTAATTGAAAGCTTTCATGACATAAGTACAGCAACAAAGGTTCTAAATTATGGAGCTATATTATGATGCTGAGACAAAGTTTACACTGTGCTTTCCACACTTGGTCTGGGGAGATGCATAAAAATTTACAGTATATGCTATTTAGTTTTCAAGTCTCTCTCTCTGTAAGTTTTTTCTCTAATTCAATTGAATATGCCTCAGTAAGAGATTTCTAGGAAAAACTAAACTGATAAATATGTGCACACAGCTATTTAAAGTCTTATTTCAGTGACTGTATTTTTTGGGAAGTGTTAGAGTTCTAGGATGAAGAGCTTATGATGTAGTTTAATTTTGTAAAGTGACTTGTGCACAAACTCTATTCCAAAAGACTTTTAAAGTGCTAAATAAAACAGCTGAGCTTAAATAATAAATAATAACACATAAAAGAGATTTAAAAATAGTTCAAGTATATGAGGGAGATACAGAAAGAGATAAATAAAACAAACTCCTAACAATGAAAATTGTGCAGGCACTGATATGAGAATGAATTCTCTAAGCTAATTCACAGTAGAAGGTAAAATTTGCTATACATGTCAGATGAGGCAAAGGCCTAATTACTTTCTAAGAGGATCTTCCATTCCCTTTTTGTCCTATATATCTGATACAGTGATATTTGTATTGAAACAGTAGTCATACTTCATAAGAGGCATCTTTTCTCACCATTGGAGATAAACATGAAAAGACCGAGATAAAAACATTTTATGTCTCCCTCTTCTGTTGTCAAGAAAAGTAACTTTACAGTGTAGCAACACAAAGTGTAAAATCTTAAGAGATTTCTGCTTAGTACTTCAGAGAAGGGGGTCTCTGCACATATAAATGCTCAGTGCGAAGACAAGCTTGTGAATATGCCATGAAGAAGATGATTTAATGAGCTCAAATATATACATGTGTGTATAATTAAAGAGTCGGCATCTGGTTTGTTTGTTTGTAGTTTGTTGTGAAATGTATATCGTGTTTCTGTGAAAGAGCAGCTCAGTGTTTCATGCTGTCTCTCAGTTGATGAAATCCCCCCCCAGCAGAGGGGGCTTGCTTTGAGCGTGCTTGGGAAAGAGAAGCTTTGGGGGTGCAAAAGGCGAAGCAGGAAAGCTGATCTAATATTTAAGGGGTAAGAGAGCAGAAGGCCTGGAGAGAGGACGCAGACCTACAGTCAGACTGCAAACCTGGTGGAAAGAAAAAATATCCTAAAGCCCCAAAATGAGTTAGGAACTGCTGTAACTGAGCATTAGAACTTGGAACAAAAGTTTAGAAAAGGACCTGTCCTACCAGGACACAGTGACTTGAAGGAGACTTTTTTATAATTATTCTTGTGCTCTTATTTTTCTCAGAGAATGGATTTTCTATATAAGAAGAAAATTTGTTATAATCCAAGAAAAATCAGTGTTTGAATGTAGGGGCCATTTCTGAAATTTGGTAACGTTCATTTTAAAAAGAATCTATTGGCAGAGCAACCTTTCACCTTTGACCCACTGTACTGAATTTGGCTAGGATAGACTTAATTTTCTTCATAGTAGATCCTGTGGTATTATGTTTTAGATTTGTGACCAAAGCAGTGTTGATAGCACAAGGATATTTTAGTTATTCCTGAGCAGTGCTTACACAGCATCAAGGCCTTCTCTGCTTATCATGCTGCCTGTCACAGCAAATCAGCTGGGGATGGGCAAGAAGTTGGGAGGGGACACAGCTGGGACACAGATTACTCCAAACAATGACAGGGATATTCTATAACATATGAAAGGGATATTCCATACCATGTGATGTCACGCTCAGTGACAAATGCTGATGGAAAGGAGGAGGAAGGGACCATGTTCAGGGTTATGATGTTTGTCTTCCCATGTAACCATTAGGCATGATGTAGCCCTGCTTTCCTGGAGATGGCTGAACACCTGCCTGGCAGAGTAGCCAATGAATTCCTTCATATTCTTTGTTTACATGTACAGCTTTTGCTGTACCTGTTAAACTGTCCTTATCTTGACCCATGAGTTTTCTCATGTTACTCTTTCCATTCTCTCTCCCATCCCACTGCGAGGGAGCGGACGGGGGGTGTGGGGTGTGGTGGGTGAGGGATTGGCTCTGGGGGTCTTCCCTGCCCACCGGAGTTGAACAACACCCACTTAGGGTCAGTCAAAACACGTTCATCTTAATATTTACATGACATACATGATGGTGGTATCTCAGATTAAGTCTTTTAAGTAGACAGCTTTCATGACCCAGAATTATTGACTGGGAAAAGCTTGTTCATAATAAGTAGCCTTTTAGCCTCTTACAGCCCCAAAATATGTGGAGAAGGACCACAAGATTAATAGGTTTAATCTGTATCAGACCTGTACCAAAAGAGATTTGTTTGCTTTGCTCTGACTGTTTCGCTTCCTTTTGTCAAAAAAGAGAATTGATGTGGATACTTTGCCTCACAGACAAATTTAGTCATAGATGTTGTTATATATATTTATTTGCAAAGATGCTACCATATGCCTTTACATAAACAGTATGGAAAACACATTTGTTAGGTGGGTGGGGTTGTTTTGCATTAAGTGGCCAGCATTTGTATTAAAACATTGGCTTTTTCTTTCTAAATGCTGTATTTGCTAAGAAATAATTTGATATTTTTTTCAGAAATCATGAATTCTAGTGATGTATTCTATTGAAGATTGATATAAAAATGAATTGCTGACTTTTGTTTCCTTGGTATCTTTTTTAGGATTTATTTATACCTGTGGTGGAACTTTAAAAGGACTTAATGGCACTATAGAAAGCCCTGGCTTCCCATATGGATATCCAAATGGTGCAAACTGTACATGGGTTATAATAGCAGAAGAAAGAAACAGAATACAAATCGTCTTTCAGTCTTTTGCTCTAGAAGAAGAATATGATTATTTGTCATTATATGATGGGCATCCTCATCCTGCAAACTTTAGGACAAGGTAATGCATAAATATTAATAAAATCTAATTTGTACTAATATCTTAAAAATATATGAGAATATAGTTAAAGCTAATGTTTTAAAATTATTTCTTTCATATTTAGTCTTTAGGGTGAACTTTAATTAAGTGTAAGTGCCAAAATCTGGATCATGTGCTTTAATTTTAGTTAAAGTAAGTGCTGAAATTAATCTAGCCCTCATAAAAGTTGTCTCAACAAAATGTAATTAATTAAGAAACATATGGGCATGGATAAATGAATGTAAAGTGAGTATGAGATTGTAGAGGTCTCAGTTTGCATGATCTAGTAGCAGTGGAACTTTTGTATTCTTTTCAACAGGAGGCTTTTGATCAAGATCAAGAAAATATAACATATTTAAGATGGACTAGATAATTATTTTTTTGTAATTGTATATGAGCATCTTCTAACAAAAAGGGATTACAACAGTGAAAAAATCAGTTTGAAATATCAAGAGTGTGATGGGTCACAGAACATTTTTTACCTGAGTCTATTTCAGAGTCATGGCCCAGATTTTCAGTTCTGGAAGGTTGCAGCTTGAGGAATACATAATATTTCAGCAATTGCAACAGATATATTAGTCACACACTTGCTAGTTATTTTTATTATTATCTGTCTTGATTTCTGTAAGTCGTCATCTGCCTAGACTTCTGTAAGGCCTTTGGCATGGCCCCACACAACAGCCTTGTTGTTAAATAGGAGAGATATGTATTTGATGGATGGACTATTTGATGGATAGTGCAGTGGCTGCATGGCCACATCCAAAGAGTTGCAGTCAAGAGCTTAAAGTACAGAGATCAGCAACAAATGGTGTCCTTCAGGGAGTCTGTATTGGGACCAAGACTATTCAGTATCTTTGTTAATGATGTAGACAGTGGGATTGAGTGCACCCTCAGCAAGTTTGCAGATGACACCAAGTTGAGTGGTGCAGTTGATTTGCTTGAGGGAGGGGATGCCATCCAGGACATTGACAGACTGGAGGAGTGGGCCCAGAAGAACCTCATGAAGTTCAACGAGGCCAAGTGTAACATCCTGCACCTGGGTCTGGTCAATTCTCAGTGTCAATACAGACTGGGAGATGAATGGATTGAGAGCAGTCTTGAAGAGAAGGACTTGGGGAGATAGATAGATAGATAGATAGATAGATAGATAGATAGATAGATAGATAGATAGATGGATGGACAAAAAATTGGACACGAACCTGCAATGTGCAGTTACAGCTCAGAAAGCCAACTATATCCCAGGCTGCATCAAAAGAAGCATGAGCAGTAAGCTGAGGGAGCTGATTCTTCCTCTCTGGTTTGCTTTTGTGAGACCCCACCTGGAGAACTGTGTCCAACTCCAAGGCTCCCAGCACAAGAAAAGCATCGACCTATTGGAGCAAGTCCAAATAAGTCCACCAAAATGATCAGAGGGCTGGAGCACCTCTCCTATGAAGAAAGGCTGAGAGAGCTGGGGTTGTTCAGCCTTGAGAACAGAAGGCTCCAGGGAGACCATATTGTGACCTTTCAATACTTAAAGGGGACTTACGAGAAAGATGGATAGAGACTTTTTACCAGGGCCTCTAGTGACAGGACAAAGGGCAATGGTTTTAAACTTAAAAGAGGGTAGATGAGGACTTGAGCACCTCCCTGACAAAGACAGGCTGAGAAAGTTGGGACTGTTCAGCCTGGAGAAGAGAAGATTGTGTAGAGACCTCACAGCAATCTTCCAGTATTTGAAAAGGGCCTACAGGGAAGCCAGAGAAGGACTCTTCATCAAGAACTGTAGTGGTAGGACAAGGAGTAATGGGTACAAACTGAAAGAGGGGAAATTTAGGTTAGATATTAGGAAGGAAAGTTTTACTGTGAGGGTGGTGAGATACTGGAACAGGTTGTCCAAGGAGCTTGTGGATGCCCCAACCCTGGCAGTGTTCAAAGCTAGGTTGGATAAGGCCTTGAGCAACCTGGTTTACTGGGAGGTGTTCCTGCCCATGGCAGGAGATTTGGGACTAGATGGTCTTTAAGGTCCCTTCCAACCCCTTAACATTCTATGATTTTATGATTAAGATTAGATATGAGGAAGAAATTCTTTACAAAGAGGGTAATAAGATACTGGAACAAGTTCCCAAGAAATCCTTGGTTTTGAGTAACCTGATTTAGGGAAAGATGTCCCTGCCCACGACAGTGAGAGTTGGAACTAGATCATCTTGCGAACCAAAACATTCCATGATTTTATTATTCTGTGATCCTGTGAGGAAGAATGTAATATCTGTTCCTAATCAGGGAACATCCAGTTTCATTTTGCTTTGCATAATGCTGCTCAAATAAAGGGATTTGTGTTCATAAGGTTGTATGGTAAATGTTGATTCACTGGTAATGATTTTTTTTTTTTAACTCCTGCATAACAATCCAGCATCTGTTCACTAGAAGGAAAATGTAACTTGGTACTAGAAGGAAACTAGAACAGTAAAATTCTTCATCTCAAATCTGTGCAGGATGTGAATTCTGTTTGTTAAATGGTTAACAGCCAGCAGATATAGAGAAATGCATCTCTAATGAATTGTTTCTCTTTGTACTTCTGTGCTTCCATTTTTATTTCCTGTTTCATGAATGCTGTGTGCAGTTCTGATATTGGCTGCAGGAAAGAGGGAACCCATAGATAAAAGATTTGAGAGTTGTCTTTTACAACAACAAGAAAAAACAAGATCATGTAGTTTTCCTCCTTTCTGCCCACTCCTCAAAAGATAAAATTGAGATTTTCTCAAATATAGGAGACCAAAAAGGCCCTCACTGGCTGTCAAGGCTTCTATTGGTGAATCCACTCTAAATTGTAATCTCAAGGAGTATGTAAACAATGTTCTGAACAAATGCAAAAGAATTAAACAATTGCTGCAGTTAGGAACCAATGGTCTTTACTGAGTTAAAATTTTAATGAGCATCAGGAAAAAGGGGTTAAGGAAGTTAGGAGGATGGAAGGAAGAGGAATATAATATCTTGGAAAAGAAGAATTGTTTTTCTTTATGTCTTGTTCAAGCTGCTCAAAAGGTTTATATGTATTTGTATGCACATGTTAATTCATACATATACATGTATATGTATCTGGACATATAGATACATAGATATCTATATGCATTTATAGATATATGTGTGCAGGATTCTTTTTAAGTTAAACTAATCCTTCAGTGCTGGAGCTTTGGGATTTTTATTTTTTTTTAAAGGTCAGTATCTTGAGAAAGTCAAGGAAACCTGTCATGCTTAAAAGTTTTGGTGTGGTGTATCTAGGATGCCATTACATTCTGGTGAAGAAGTATAAGCAGTTCTGTGGAAGAGTAGAATAAGTCAGCACTTTAGAAGGAAAAGACGATTGAGCCTCAATATAGGTCTTGAAATAGACTCCTTTTGCAAGATTTACAAGATCTTACCAGAGTGTGGGTACAGTAGAAG